ATATAACTGCAGCATATTATTCAATGTCATTGTCGTATATATATATTCAAGCATTAAACACAAAATTAAAATATATATAAATATATATATTTATTTGTTCCAATTTTTTTTTGCTCCTCTATATTACCAAAACATATAAATAATAAGAATCAGTCATTACTATACATTTCTCGATACTATTCACTATTTATTTATCCTGCTCACATATTTTTAAGTTTTAACTACCAATCATTCACAATCCTCCCTATATATCCTCCTTATATATAATTCCCAAATGCGCTGAGTCTACGTGGCTGCTTCTGGTGCTTCGGAATCCTATTTGGCGAAGAATCAAGCTTCGTAATTAGGTTTGGATAAATAATATTGATATATTAATAATTAATAATCTAAGTTCGAGTATTCCATAAATATTATTTAGTTAACTTAGGTATTTTAATATCACTTTTACTAATATAACCCTTTAATTATCTGTAATTTTACATAGTGAGGCACTAAGTGACTAATATATCCCTGAATTTTGATTTGTTTCCTTCAATAAGCTATAGAATTATATATGTATTTTAAAAGTTGATAACTTTTGTATTTCTTATTGGTTTTACATATATAATATATCAAATTAAACATCTTTTGATGATCTTCGATTTGACATCCATATTGTATATATGAAATAAATAAATTATATTTATCTTTATAATAATAAAAAATAATAATATTTATTAAAATTCATAAGAAAAATAAAATTATTTCTCAATTGATATATTTATATGTAATGCAGTTATATATTGTAAGTTAAAAAAAAAATTAGTATAATATAACACAAGTAAGTTGCACAAATAAAAAGTGTCATAATAAATATATAATAATATATATATATTCTTATAAAAGGTATTTAAATTTCCAAACTACTTTTTTCTCATTAATTTTAGATTTTAAAAAAAAAAAATTAACAAGCACCCGTATAATACACGGGTGTTGTACTAGTTTCATTTACTATTTGCCTATAACATCGGCTCTAGTTATTATATTTTATCTCGTATTAATTCAGTCTCAAAATTATTTCATCCTTCTCCCATTTCCTTTTTCTACTCTCTAACATTTTTTTCTAATCAAATATTTCCTTTTCAAAATATATTTATATCTCACCCTCCAACCTTTTTTAAACGTAACCTTTTACGAAAGAGGAATTTACATTCTCCACGTGAACAATCTAAAAATATTACACAATTACATTCTTTATATAATTATTTATAAATTAACTAAAATTGTTATATTTATTTTCATATATGCCTAAAAATTGATTTCCTATTTATATGGTAACTTCTCACCTATTTACATGGTAACTTCCTATCAACTAGGTCCCTCTCTCCTCTCCCTTATCTCTCTCTTCTTCGCACGAGAATACACTTCTTTTGTTCTTCTGTTTTTATTTTTAATTTTTTAATAGGTTGATGAAAGCTAATGAAAGCATCGATTATTTCTCGATCTGCAATATCACGCTTGCCAACATAGTGGTAGAGATCTTCTACAATTCGGATTCTCTCTCGGAGATGACGGTCCCGCCGTTCTGGCAGGACATGAGGAACGAGACCTCCTTGACGATCAATTTTGCAGCGGCGGGGAGCTTCGTGGAATGGCCGATGGCGGACGAGATGAACAGCAACAGATCGATGAGTGGGAACGTGAATTTCATTCTGAGGATGCATTCCTTTTTATTGTTGTTTTTGGACAAATTTTTAATTTTGTTTTACGGTTGTATTATGCATTACCAGGTTTTAGGAATTTGACCACCATGTTCTCTGCCAATGATTTCATCTGGAGTAGCCGAAGGTGATAAATCCTTTCATCATTCCATCAAATATCCAAGGCCTCGACAATTAAAAAATATGGAGATGGTGATTGATATCCTAGATCTTGTTGTAAAGGTAATCTAAATAATAGGAAGAAAAAAAAAAAAGGTAAATGAAAAAGTATATGTTGAGTATATAAACAGTATAATTTTAGTTTTTAGACATTTTACCGTCTGGATTGTTTACATTTTGGGTATATGTTGTGTGTATATGGAGTATATGTATAGTATATGTTTTTGTATATTTAGAAGATTTTTTTGTATAAGGAATATAAGTAATATGTGATAATATTTTTTTTTCATTGCAACATATATTGAATATATACTAACATAAACACAATATATACTAGTTGCGTGAATTACAAAATTCCAGTTGCGCACATATACTGAATATATACTAACATAAACTCAATATATATCACCTGAGAAACATAAACGCAATATATATACCGGCTGTGTGAATTACAGAATTGCAGTTGCCACATATACTGAATATATACTAACATAAACCCAATATATACTACCTGAGAGCTCTAATAAATAACCCGCGTGAATTAAGGTGATAAGCGTGAATTAAGGAGATAATAGTTGAAATGATATGGTAACTTTATGTATTAATATAAATAAATAATGTCTTTTAGGTAGAGACATAATTATTTCTACTTGTATGGTAAAATTGCAATAAATTTAAAATCATGTAGCATAAATAAAAATTTGAGGAAATTACACCCTGCACCTTCAAATATGATTTATATTACATATATGTAACCATTATATTTTTATTTATAACAATACCAAATCAAGCAAAAAATATTACAATTTTACCTAAGATGTGGACTAATAATGTAACCGTATGTTGAGGATTTTTTGGCAAATTAAAGCAATTGAGATTAAATATATACTTACCAAAATACTTGGACCAATATATATCCTCTCTCTCTCCCATCGCCCCACGTTCAATTCTCTATCTCTGCAGACAACCTCTCCTTCAATGGCGAAGACAAAAATCACCAGCTCTACTCGAAAAAAAACATATTCGACAATCCTCTGCAACAAGGCCACTATTGGAAAATCCAGCCGGAAATTTCGGCTTCCTTTCGGCTTGCGAGTGGCGGGGTCGTCGGACGACCAACTTCAGCCAAGGGCGGTGGGAACTCGAGCGATTTATTGGGCACCAGCGGCGGAGGGTTGAGCACTGATGGAGTTTGCCCAAGGCGGCGTGACGAGATGAAGGGTGTCCTCGCTTTTTGACCGGCAGTGGTTCACTTAACTCGGAGACGAGCAGCTACGGCCGTGGGCTCGTCGGGAATGGGAGGAATGAGAATTGTTAGTTCTTTTGGGAGGAAGGGTGTCCTCGCTTTCGGTCGGATTAATTTTATTCAGTATATTGTTAGTTTTTTGTGAAGAATGAGAATTGCTTATTTGTATCATTTTGTTTGTTGCTTGCCAATGATATACATCATTGTTTATGTTCATCAGTTGATTTTCTGAGTCTACACTTTGTAGGTTTTATTTCTTTTTAATGTTTAATGAAAACTATATGTGGTTTATTTCTGGTATATTATTAGTCATATTTTATTGTTTTCCATGTTTTTTTTTTTCTCATGCCTTTAAAAATTTATAGCCAGGGTTATAGTCAGTATATTTTCGGTATATTTTCTCAGAGAATCAATGTTAAAAAAAAAACGATATATATACCATTAAAAAACGACACACACACACACACACATATATATATATATATATATATATATATATATATATATACCATTAAAAACGATTAAAGATATATACCATTAAAAAAATTGACAGTATGTAATAGTTAAAAATGTATAGCTAGGGTTTATAGTCAATATATTTTCGGTATATTTTGCAGTTAAAGATTTGAAATTAGGGTTTATAGTCAGTATATTTTCAGTATGTTTTTGGTATATTCTCAGAGGATCAATGTTAAAAAAAAGATATATATATATATATATATATATATATATATATATATATACCATTAAAAATATTAAAAAGATATATACCATTAAAAAAAAAATCAATATATATACCTTAAAAAAACTGAAAACCCCATTTAGTGAATGATCAAAGATAAAACAAAAAAATATAAAATAAATATTTTGGAGATATAATCATTCCATGCATGAACCGGATTTTTTCTGTATTGTGGTATATGTACAATATATGATCAGTATATGTACAGTATATGTTCGTACTTTTCGCCGGATTTCTGCTCCTCGCGCAGTGATGGTCGACCCGATCGACTTCCTCGCGCTCCAATCGATTTGAAAGGGCCTCTCCGATCTGCCCGAATCAAATTACTTCTCCTCTTGGGATTTTCACCGTCGTCCCTGCAATTTCGCCGGAGTTTATTGCGACGGCGATAGATCTCTTCGATAAGCCCAGATTGAATTACTTCTCCTATTGATATTTTCACTGCAGTCCCTGCAATTTCGCTGGAGTCTACTGTGACGGCGATAGGATGGTGGCCTGCAATCTCGCCTTCAATATCTGCAAGATTTTTTTTTTTTTTTTCTTTGAAAGAACGAGAATCACGCCAAAGAGAAGTAACAGAATTTTGGCATTACTTCAATTAAATGTCATATGTTAGGTAAAGACACAATTATTTATATTTGGATGGTATATGTGTAATATTTTCTATATCACGTAGTGTAAGTGAAAATTTCCCTAAAAATTTCCAGTATTACTTGGGCCCAAGATGCATTGTCTTATGGACTTTCCTTGTAAGGTCACTATATGAAAGCGCCCATAAACATGGGCTATGGACCAAACCATTATAAGGCCTACAACACTTGGGCCTATCTCACAACTAGCACTCTCTCTCTGTCATATGGGCCTATGGGCCCAAGGACTACTGAAATTGCTAATCCGGAGATGACAACTTTAAAGCCCGTTTATAACAACTTTTAGTTAGCTAATACGCAAGTTGGAGTTGCCTTTATTAACTAATGAAGCCAAACGAATAGAAACTAAAATGCAATTTGCCAACTTGTATTTAAATTATGAAAGTAACACTTATCTGATTGTACTATAATACTAAAAAAAAATTAATATATTGACAAAACTTTAGTACGACTAATTATTATATAGCCTACTCCCATTATGCAAAAATATGGTGCTTTTTGCCACCCCAAATTAAATACAACTATAAAAGCCCTTTGTTTTTCCACAGCCATGGCCCAATCTTGCTTCGGGCCCAAGCCTTATACACCACTCCTCGTGACTTTTTTTGAACTCTAGTCAAATATTGTAATGATTATAATAAGTGATCAAGATTTCCACTTATGCAGCTTAATTTATTGTTGCTAAACATGACTCTAATATCACTAAAATGAAATCATATATTATTATGGTAGAGTTCATTATTTAGTACCATTTTGTATTGTATGTAACATGGGCTTAGTTACATGTAATCTAGTTATGGATCTTTTAGGGTACAAAACCGATCTTTCATGAGCACGTTAAGATGTGTCATCAACCATGTATCAACCATGTATCAAAATCTCGTTAATCTTTGAATGTTGTAGTTACTGTATATGGTATACTAATCTCCTGCCAAATCAGCTGACTCCTTTATTGTAATTTCAATTTTTATGTTAAAATACACATGCATATAACCTTTGAGTAATTTTGCAGATGATATATAGATCGTGTTATTACAAATATACATACAAGCATTGATTATGCATCTTAATTTGTAATATTATCAAAATCGACAATTCAGATTTTGCCAACACGTAGGTCTGTTAACGAGCGTAGCGGAGCTCGAGCTTGGGGTGCTCGAACTCGAGCTCAACTCGTTTATCACTATTAACGAGCTGAGTTCGAGCTGATCTCGAGTTTTAACGATTCGAATTATAGAAAGTTACATAAAAACTCTCTTTTAGAGCCTTATCGAGCCGAGCTCCCAAACAAGCTTTAAATTAGCTTGAGCTCGGCTCGTTAAGGGCTCGAGCTCGAGCTGAATAGCGTTAACGAATCGAGCTGAGTCAGACTTTGTTTAATTTAACAACACTCACATAATTGAGTAGGCCAACCGGAAAGGAACCTCTAAAAGTAGATTAACTTAGCAAAACATTGAGCTATATGGAGCATAATCCACAGATTTTCCATATCTAATACGCAACTTGACATGAAATACATATAATATATAGCCAACCTTGTCCATTTTTCCTTCATAAAAATCAACTTTCATTGCCATACACAAGGCCACAAAATGGCATTATTGGCTAATGAGAGCCAATATTCTTGCATGAACTCCATAGAAGCTGAGAGAGAATCAGGTAAATGCTAAATTAGCAAACAGCCCTCCGTAGTTCTTTCGTGTTCTTTTTTCTCAGCTTGTTGAGCCAAATGAAGGATAGGCACACGTCTTTAAGAAGATTGTTCGACATGGATACAAATGACAATTCTGCTCCTGACGATTCACGGGCAGGATTGAAGAAACTCGGAAAAGCTTTCGACTCGGGAGGCGATTATTATGAGAAAGGTGAAGACTTTACGAAGAAAAATCGGGTAAGGATAGAAACGCGCAAGCGGAGATTGATGAGGACGAAGGCCTACAAGAGTTTACCAAGAATTGGCTTCTGGCGATGTGGGATTCGCGTTCGGGGTCATTTTTTTTGTAATTTTCAAGAATGACTAGTGTCGAAAAATGTTGTGAAACGACATGGTACACATTGTTCACTTCTTCATATAATCTTAACTTAGAATCACATGCACACACAATGCAAGAATTTGAATTTTGTACAAATCATGTGTCAAAATATTGTGAATTAGCAATTGTACATTGCATAGGTAAAAATTGAAAAAAAAAATATAAAATTAATAAAATAAACTATCTACAATACTAACTTATTACACAATGAGAAGAATTAAACTAACTTGAAGCATTATTTTTGCAACTTAAAATACAATGAGAAGAAATCAAACTATCTACAATACTCCCTTCCTCGATTTCCAATCTTCTGCTCTGACTGTTCCACAAATGCACGGCATAGCTCGACCGGTTTAGCTTCCGAGCCTGCGCCCTGGCCCATTTAGCACCACTCGAGCCTTCGGGCCGGGTGAAAAAACCCGCGACTCGGTTCCAATAAACCGGGTAAAAAGCCTCCGGGGGCAGAACGGTAAAATTATGCTCCTCCTCCCCTGTTTCTACCAAACCATTAACCACTCTGGAGACCAAGTATGGACCATTGTAGCCCCATATATTCCCATCAAAGCTCAAGCCAAAATCCTCAATAAACTTGTGTAAAAGAAAGTGTTTTTTCTCAAAAACAAGAAATGCATTGTTCAATCTTGTCCATTTTCCACTCAAATCCACACTTTGGGCACCGATTGAGTTCTTCAAACCCGAAATATCCTTAAGGACTATAAAATCGGTATCCATATAAACTCCTCCGTATTTATACAAAGCCGCGAGCCGGATCAAATTCGAAAGGTTTTGTGCTAACGGGATTTTCCCGGGCTCCCTTTTCCCGGTTTTGAGCTCGACGAGCCAATTTTCCGCAGGGGTGTTTTTCAGCAAGGCTCCAAAATCGGGACTCATTGCTCGAACGTGAAAACCGAGACCAATCAACGGGTTTAGAATATCTTTTCCCTTTTCGGAATCCATAGTCCTCGATAGAATAACCAAACAGGCCTTCGGATTTGTTTGGAGTAAGCTCTCTACGGTGAAAAACTCCCTTTCTCCAAACATATCCACGCGCGAGAACCATGTCATGAAAACCCGAGTTTCGCATTTGTTACTGTCGAAGAATCTTGTAACTCTTGAATCAAAAGCCGATGCCGAATAATAATAGGGTGTTGCTAATAACAAATCCAACTCTCGAGGATTCTTGTTATTAAGTGCATAATGTTCTTCCGTTGTTATCCTGAGCCGAGTAGCTTCTGTCTGGAGAATGAGCAACTGGTTTCGAACTCGGTCTTTTACATTTCCATTCGTGTCGAATCGGAGCAAATGATTCGAAACGATGCCGCCGTTTGAAAAGAATATGATCAAGAAGATGATCAATGCTAATGAGATGGTGGAGAATCTGTTGAGTTTCAGAGGTGAAAATCTCAAAGAATCAAACATGATGTTAAGAACTTGAGATGAATATAGTGCAAGTAAGTAGATGATTTGTTGTTAAGGACTTTTAAGTATGATGTTTAAGGTTTGATCAAAGGGCTTAATAAATAATTTTCAGTTGTGCTTAATAAGACTTCAAAAATGGATGGCCATAGGAGACTTTTTCTTGCCGTGTTGCATGGGACCTGAGACCGGTAAACATGGAATATTTTTGTTCTAAATCTTTATTGTCTTGCATTAAAAAAAAAAAAAAAAAAA